GAGTTGTGGCTTCTAAGCCACTGGTTAATGCTTGCATTTTTAAGCTCAGCATCCAGAATTTGTGAATAAATGCAGCTTAATCAGTGCATGTATTTATGAATGTAACATCAGCCTAACCTGCACAAGAGAGTATCACAAAGATCAGATTGAAAGATCTGCCCTTTCATCTCATTCCAAGCCAAATTGCATCACTTACAAATATCACACAAATTGCACTGTCACCTGTGTTCTTCTCTGATGTCACACAGAGAGATAACCTCTAAATCACAGATGTCTCCCATTTTGCAAGATCTATCATCAGGAATTTAAAGCTGAGCAGGATGGATTTGAGAACACTCTACAGATATCTGTGTTCTGCAACTGTGATGCTAATGGCTTTTCCCAGTGTTTTGTTCCTGCCTAGTCCTAACAGTTGGTCTCTTTAGCCAGCACTTGGCTCTGCACCCAGATTTGGCTGTTCTGTGACCTGCCAGCCCCTTACACACAGACAGAGCCAAACTACCTGTTTATTCCAGATGTTACTTTGAACCAAGCACAACCAAAACAATGTCATGCGCATTCCTTTCAGTAACAGCAAACTCAACTCGAAATGAACAATACAGAAACAAGAGCCACCTTCAGGTTCCCTTGGTTTGATTCCAAAAATATAAACTACATGAGAACTTTAAAAAGTACACAGTGAGCCACCGAGCAATCACTGCACTGTGTACAGAAACAGAGCATCATTTAGAATCATAGAATCATAGAATCATAGAATAGTTAGGGTTGGAAGGGACCTTAAGATCATCTAGTTCCAACCCCCCTGCCATGAGCAGGGACACCACACACTAAACTATGTTGCCCAAGGCTCTGTCCAGCCTGGCCTTGAACACCTCCAGGGTTGGAGCATTCACAACTTCCTTGGGCAGCCTGTTCCAGTGCCTCACCACCCTCGCTGTGAAGAACTTCTTCCTTATATCTAACCTAAAGTTCTCCTGTTTAAGTTTAAACCCATTACCCCTTGTCCTACCACTAGAGTCCCTAATGAAGAGTCCCTCCCCAGCATCCTTGTAGACCCCCTTCAGATATTGGAAGGTTGCTAAACTTTGCTGGAGTTACTCAGTTGTCTTGGTTTGGCAGGAGGCCACACTGACCCTGAAAGACAAAACATCACTCACCACATCTTCTCCTGACAATCCCATGCACGTTCCTGCTGCTTCCTTCTCTGATCCAGCGGAACAGTTTAATCTTCTGTGGTTTCTGTTTTACTGCAGGATTACCTCTCAGGTAGATCAGCAAGCAGGAAGAAGGCAGGAAGGTACCCTTAGAACAGTTAACCTGTAGCATAAACCCACACCTTTCACTAGAGTGACTTTAATGCAGACAAATGTACAGTCTAAATGCAAGATGTCAAATGTTCAGTGGCTTACGTCACTGAAAAGATAAAAGCCTAAATTAATAGAATGTAACTCATTTCATTCCTATTCTCTAAGTTATCTAAAGTCAGGCCCAGGCATTTTAGGTTTAATGTAGATTTTGCATGGAAAATTTTGTAGTACTCTGAAAAACAGCAGGTTCTACCATTATTTCTGGGTTTTGTCCTGGACAATGACAAATGGCAGTGATGTATTGCAGTAAATGCTGCAAAGAGCATTAGTTCATTGGAGACATTAATTTTCCTTCTAGCCAAACTTCAAACAAAGTATCACTTTCTCTGCACTTAATACTACATTTGGCTCAGATTCTGTTTCTGAATGGTGGGTGTGGAGCACTGACAAGTACAGAATAGTGATTATTTTTCTTCCGAAATGGTAGAATTATACATTTCCTGGCAAAATACTAAGAAAGCAAAAATTGTTACTGTTTTTATTTTGTCATTAAATGTTGGTCTTATACCACAGCTTGATAATAAACAACCTGGTAATATATTACAGAACTAAGTTTTGAATTTAAAAGGAAAAAAAAGTCCCTGATCATCTTCAAGCTTCCAAAACCACACAGGAAACAGAAACTGAGGATGGAGAAAGGTCACTTCCCAATTATGCCACACAATGTATGTTTTCATCTCTCACTTCATTCCTTCACTGCTGTGGACATGAAACAACCTTGCTTCCAGGATCCATCCAGAGGCACTGCTGCCCCCGGGTAAGAAGCTACTAGTGTTACAGGAGCACGTCTGCACTGAAATCAACTTGTTCAGCACATTCTGTAGTAAAATTCCACTGAAGCCTCAAATACCCACTACAGAGGCACGGTGCTCAATGTATAGCTATTTTCTCAAAGAGGTTTTACCTCTTCTGTACCTGTAGTTCACTTCTCTTTACTAAAAGTATTTTGACTACTTTCCTTCCTTCCTTTCTCCCCTAATTTATACTGTACCTGTATCAAAATGCTTCAGGATCAGCTTTATCTTGTGTTCATTTAAATAACTGATTGGACCTGGTACTTTTAGGTCTCCAGTAAAGAACATCAAGAACTTCTTTCTTTCTCAACTACACACAACCTAATAACATGTATGGCAAAGTATGGGGAAAGGACCCCATAAGGACATGGCTCCATGCAGTGCCCAAATGTTTCCAAACTCCCAAATAGGAGTCCCCAGAGCTTTTCATGAAGGGTTACTGAGTATATAGGACAGCAGGATGTAGCTGTGTAAAGAAAATCATCTGTATTGTGATACAGAAAGCCTACAATGAGAGGGATAAGCTGTGTCCAAAGGTCTCACAGTATGCAAACAGCCTGTGGCCTGCTTCAGGGACACCTAATTTCAACTAGTAAGCTGTATATGCTTCACATAACTTACATCACATTCAGCCAGATTCACGGGATTTGTCAGTAAGGCTAGGGTTTAGAGGCATTCCACTCAAGGACATGGTTTTTCACATCAGGTCTCTTCTTTCTGGGGGAGTCTCCTTTCTGTGTAGAGAGACCACAAGTTGAACCAGAGCAAAGAAGGAAAATCACCGTACCACATTAAGAATGCACTGGCAAATTAGCAATCACTATTGTTGCCTGATTCCAAATTAGGCAGGGAAATCATCTTGCCCCAAAACAGCACTGCAAGATGTGCTGTTGCCTCATAATAGATTTGTTCACGGTAGCTTACATGAGGGGAGATTGTTTCTCAGTTTCTTAAGAGACTTGTCAAAAGTTGTTCTCATTCTCATAACAGAAACGACATGCAAAGTGCTAAACAAAGGGATGACTGATGTAAGCACTGAGCCAAGATCTTATGGTTCAAGCCCATTCTTTGATGCTTTGTTTTATCTGAAACCCTTTTCAATTGCAAGCATATTACAAGAATAGCTTTCCCCATCCAATTTGTATTAGTGATACCAGTTGTGCTTGATATAGGCTCTCTTTTGCAGCTAAAGGTCAATTATCTTTAGTTAAATAATAGCTTTCACATTACTCTTGAATAATGTTGCCTGAACTCTGGAAGCTGGGAGAAACTACATAAAGCATCCTGACTCCACAGGCTGCAACTAGGAGAATTTTTGCCACTATCCTGGAAAAAAATGTGATCTTAGCCCCATTTGTCTCTTCAGCAAAAGAAATGTCAAGTAGTCAAAGCCTTCAGCTGAAGAACATGCTTAAGAACGGGCGCAAGCACTTCGTGGAAGTTAGGCCATTTCCAACTGTTTTATATTAGTCTCCTGCCAGTTTCCAGTTTTTATTTCTTGAAAACAAGTTTCAAACTTGAGTTTAATTTAAAAAGACCAGCTGATTTTAAAAGAATTCCCCGTGCAACTGAGTTGGCTGGCACACTTTCATCACGTTTGAGTCTATGATTCTACTGTTTTCCTGTTTGTAGGTGGCACAGAGCTGCTCAGCTGAATTAGCTTTTCCAGCCTCTCTTGTCAGCTGCCATCCAAGTGATAAAAAAGGGCTTTTAAGTGGGTAGCAAAGCCTTCATTCCAGAGTCACAAAACAAAGAGGTCCTATGTGCTATTGTCATCAATGGATTCACCAGTCATCTCCTTTTAGCTTCTAGTTTCAACACTGTTTTCCTGGTACCTGCTTGACGAGTGTGACAACATAACAGCCTGTATGAAACTATCAATCATGACCATATTGTCGATATACTGATGGAACTATTTCTCCTTTTACTGGTAGTTTCCTATAATGTACTTTTCCAGAAGCTCACTCCACAGGGCTCCTGGGAACTTGGCAGCAGCAGTGGCTTTATTCTTCCTCCCCAAAACAGTGACTTTCAACGTTCAGAAGCAGGTATTTAGCACATCTGTATCACCCCCATCTTCAGCACTGTGCAGACCCCTACTGCAAACTCCACCACTCCTCTTACCGACAGGACGTAAGGACTTCTGTATATAAACTCTTCAGCCAGGCAAAGAGACAGCTTGTGACCAGGATTGCTGCCTATGTATTTATGGGCATAAAGACAACAGCTTCATTCAGATAATTTCAAATGAACTGTGCATACACATACACATATTGTATTTATTGAGTAGCAATATAACCCTGATACATAACCCTGATATGTAACTTAATCTGGAGTCAGCAGGACATAGAACCAATGATACCTGAGTAAGATTCACTTCTAGTTTTCGAGGTAGCAGAACAAAACTGTTATCACTGCACTTCAGAACAAGTCAGGAGAGTGCCTCTTTACTTAGCTGAGATCAGAACTGCCACAACCTTTTTAACTAACAAATGTGAGGAAATGATATACCACGAGGAAAGGTGAGTGTTCTAATGTGTTGTCCAAGAAAAGAGATAGTTAGAGATTGAGTAAAAATGCAACCCCCATGATGGGAAGCTGGGTTTTCTCAGACGACAACAGCACGCAGGCACATCAGATGGTGCCAATCTACAGTGCAGCTGGGGCCAGAAGACAACAAAAATTCTACTAAAAAGGTAGAAAATTATTCGGAGAATGAAAATAAAAGCTATGTAACAGTGGGGTTTAGAAGAAGGCAGGCTAGGAAACTTTTAACAAGTTTCCAAGAGTCAGTGAGAGCTGAAATACCAACCCTGCTCAGCATCTTTGACAGCTTCCACTACAGCTTGCTCTTAGGGATGTCTGAGTCCATCAAGTGTTGCCAGAAAAAGGCCTGTATCCTGCGCCATGCATCTTCTTGTGCTCTGGCATGCTCCCTCCATTGCCCTCCCCACTGCATAAACATCCCAAGCACTTTGTGGATTGAAGCCTGGCACAGAGGTAAGTATGGTGGCTCCAAGAGGTGCCCTGCTCCAGGATAGGAGCAAAACTCCACTTCCCGTCCACACTGCTGAAGGCGCTGAACAACATCCTGGCAATAGAGGTCGCTTTTCCAGTTCATGTCATCCCGACCGCACAGGAAGAGTAACTTGGCTGAGGACCTCTCCATGGGAATGCGACAATCCCAAGTCGCTGGGTCCCTGTGATCATTTAGGACATCTGAAAAATCTACTAGGCCAGACTCATCACTGGTCTTCACCCTCCCCAGATCATACGGGTGGGGAGGAATAGTGAAGCCATCCCCCTTCAGGGGAATGAAAGAATTGAAACCGCTTCCAGAGATGCTGACAACTGCCTTGATGCCAGGTAGAAATGTGGCCATGGAAAGGGCTATGTCGGCTCCTTTAGACAAGCCCAAAATGCCAATGCCAGTATCTTTCACCTGAAACACAGTTATGAAAACAACCATTATCAACTACTCCTTATTTCCTGGGCTGACAGAATGCCTCCAGTTCTGCTTCCTCACCCCTCATCCAACACCACCCATATTTTACCCCTCCCCTCTCTCTGTTCATGTTATATCATTCCCGTATCCACCCTTTGCTGAGCCTCCACAAGAGCGACTTTGAATTCTAAACTCCTCAACATTTCTCCTCCTGTAACACTTTTTCTTCCTGGTGTCCTCTATGGACAAAGCCTCTTTGCTTCCTCCACATTCTGGCTCGGCACTTGCTCACATTATTGTATCTTTTACTCCTCCTGCCTCCAAACTCCCTCATCTCTCCTCAGGTTCCCTTTGCAAAATCACTTTTTCATGGGTTTACTTGCATTGATTTTCTTCCATGCCACTGGTTTTTTATACTCTCCTACAGCTGACCTGTTATCTTCTGTTTTGTCTTGGAACACAAGAGGCTCATTACACCTGAGGCCAAGTAAGCCAAATAACTATTTAAATCAACTTATTTATAGTGAAGGCTCTTCACACCAGATTCAGTTTGTTATGTGCGTCTTGTAAGACACTCTGGAAGTTTCAGAGCTCTATGAGGAACAAGACAAACAAGCAAGGCTGAACTCTGCTCTCACACTGGCTACATTCCTCGTGTCCATATGCTAGAAAATAACTAACTTTGTGGAATGAATTCCACATTAAGTAGCATTCCATTCAAAGTTTAAATGCTATTCGACTTCTCTTGGTCTCTTTTGGCTTAAGCATGATGATACATCGCTATAAAAGCATCCTTCTCATCCCACATACTTGTCCTAATACAGCCCCAGCTTTTTAGGACATCGCACACTCTCCAGTGCTACAACTGTAAGGGATTCTGTCGTTAAACTGTTTAAATATTGTCTGGCGAAACTTACTCAAAATCAAAAGCTTGTAACACCTCAGAAACAGTAGAAAATATCAATGGATTCTTTTTCCCCTTTTTAGAGGAATTCTTTTTTTAGGGAGTTTTAGGGATTCTTTTTTCCCTTTTTAGGGAAAAAAATTCAGATTCTCTGCTTAAGCAGGAAGTTAAGTTTTATGTAAACTTAAAGACCACAAAACCTAAAAAAGTCTGAAGATTTTTTAAGTAAATCTTAAGTTTTATCCTTCTAGTTCAGGAACTGCCCTGATTTAACCTTACACAAACAGCGGTTTGCAAAACACTCTATGGCTGTTACAACATGCTGTGCAAAACCAGCTATCCACCTACTTGAGGTTTTCATCTCTCAGATCATGCTGTCATTCAGACAATGCTGTCTCCTATAACACCTGAGGTACTTAGGTGCATTTAGGGACACATAGCATTCCAATTAGAAAACTGGAAAATAGTTTCCAACAGGAAGATCACCATCATTTGTCTCTTACCTGCTCCTGCTTCTGCAAAAAATTCACGGCTTCCTCAAAATAGCTCATTTCAAGAACCTCTGGCATAGCAGGAAGATCTTCAAAGGCCATGTAAGCAACAGCCAGAGTCACAAAACCTCTGCTAGCCAGGAGACTTGCTCTGTATTCAACAAGACCTCCTCCTGATCCATACAAATCGATAAGTCCAGGGAATGGGCCAGGTCCTGCAATGAAAGGTGTGTGTATATAGATAACCAAAGTTTCTACAGTCGTCCCTTCAGTAGTGCCCTCTCAGCACGTATCAGGAGAGCAGATACCAGAAGGCAATAATTCTCTGAAACTCTCCACAGAGGTTGTCATTCTCAGGCACACTCACAAACACTGTAAGGACACTAATTCGGGTATTTCTTCTCTTAGGAATTTACTATAGGAAGTTCACATGTTGGGCATCCTTCTTACACCGTGAATATCAGCTGACATTGGCCTAGATGTTCTCAGGCCATTGGAGATTGATGAACAAACAACTTATTCAGAAACTGGGCTGGCAGGTTTCCCTGGGAGGGAATACTTACTTGGGTTACGAAATGCACCACTGGCTTATGCCAATTCAGGCTTCAGTGGGATGTGGGTAACTACCCTTGAGCTTCCCAGTTCTCCTGCAGCCATAGGACTTTCCTCTCGTGCTGCTGCTCTGCCCATTCTTATACCCAGACTTCCCCTACAAGATTTGGTGTCACAGCAGCTGCCAAGGGACTTTCTATTCATTACAGAGCAAGGTATTCTCATTTAAGTACTACTTAAGGAACATAAAGAGTTCAGAGCTCAGAGCAGCCTTACACAGGACCGAGTTTCAGCACTATCTCTGTAGAGACCTGGGGAATATGATGCCTGTTTGATCAAAGACCTTGCATTTCCTGTGTGTCTCCTATCTTCCCAAGTACCCCATGTGGTCAAGCTGCTCAACAAGGTAGACATCATTCGTTGGCTCTTACTTAGCCAAAGAGAGAGACAGAGAGACAAGTCCAGAGCCTGTAGGAAGATCCATGGCAGCTGCTGGAGCAGCCTAAGCTGGCTGCAGCTCAAGTGCAGTGCTCCCACCATGCTTCGTCTTTCCTCACCCCACAGCCAGAGCTGTCACACTTCACAGCTCTGCTGAAGACCAGGGGCCTCTCTGTCTTGTCAGCTAAATAGAAGAGCTAAGAAATGAATACACTCTTCCCCAGAGCTCCCACAGCAGAAGAGGTCCTGACCCCCGCAGATAGAACAGGAGACACCTCGTGTTACCAGCGCTGCCTTCCCTGCATCCCTCCCCATCCCAGCACACAACCTGCCTGGGCAACACCTGCTTCTCCCTCTGCGTGAGGATCCAAGTAGCTGGAGCAGGGTCAGGCTGAGGGAACCTTGAGCTGAGGCTTTGCTCTGGCTTGCTCAGCGCATCCAGGGGCCACGGGGCATAGTGTGATGTACGTGACCCCTGGAAAACCAGAACGGCATTAAACTCACCAGCGGGGAGGAAGAGGGTTGCTTTCAGACGGCCTTCTCTGACTGGAATCCTCTTCACACCCTCTCCTAAAAACCATCGTTCATTGGTGCATTTTCCCAGCAAGCGGCTCGTGTCCCCGTGGCCCTCATACACTTCCAGCTCCACACAGTAAGGGGTCAGGACGTTCCTCTTTGCCAGCCGCTTATAGGGCACTTTAGACCGCAGAGACCACAGCAGCCCCATCGGCTCCACTCCCAAATAGCTGCCCCCCAGCGACGGGGAGCGGCTGAGGTCGAGCTCCCCGTTGCTCCCTGCTCTGTAGCGAGCGTGAGCTTGGAACAGCTCCCCGCTCTCATCCAGCAGGCGGGGGACCTCCTCCTGCGGCAGCAGACCTGTCACACGGATCTGCACGGGGTCATCAAACAGACACTTGGGGGAAGGCAGAACCATCACCCGCACCGCCATCGCAGCGCTGCTGCGGGAGAGGAGCTGCCCTTGGCTGGGGAGAGACACGGGCTGCGTGGAACAGGACCGTCGGGAGCGAGGTCGCCTGTCGCTTCTCAGGCTTAAAATCTCTGCCCAAAATCCAGGAGGCACCGCCGTGACGTGCTGGCTTCCTCCAGCCGGGAAGCACGGGCTGCTGGGAGGCGTAGTTCAGAGCACGCCTTCCTCCGGGCGCTGCCGTCGGGAGCGGCACCGCACCACCGTGCGCTTGCACACACACAGGCTGTCATTTGTTCCTTACTTTTGATTAGAGAGACGCTAAATTAAAACCCCCAAAGTGACAAAATGAGGTATTCAAATCATTTTTCCTCCGACAGTGGGAAAGTCCGGATTCCACTGCAGAACTGGCTTGGGCACCTTTGCCAAGGCACAGTGAGCACAAGCTGGAGGGCCTGAGGTAATGCGGTATCTTAATCTAGCTGTGAAATAAAGCCTGCGCTTAATGCCTCTGGAGTTATCAGCAACTTCTGGACAAGCATCACAGGGTAAAATAATGCTTAACTATGTTTCTTTAAAAACAAAAGAGACAAAGTAGAATTATTGCCTTTTTATTCTTTTTTTCACAATAATCAATCTGTCTAAAAGGTATCTGTGTTGTCCTAATTAATACACGGAAAACAAATTTCCCCCTGTATCACCAATGTTTCCAAGAACTGTTTGAAGATCTGATGACAAATACAATCATTTGGTTTCCATAAACAATACTACATGTTTGCTGTGTTCATGTATTTAACAGCCTTATAGTCCTACCCTGCAGGTCTCAGACACATGACCAGTCTCATCCCATTCTATGGAAATGCAAATGGGACTTAAGGCTGCAGAAACTTGTATTTGCAGAAATTTGAGGTGCTGGAGCGGGTCCAGAAAACTGCAACGGAGCTGGTGAAGGGTCTGTAGCACAAGTCTGATGAGGAACAACTGAGGGAACTGGGGTTGTTTAGTCTGGAGAAGAGAAGGCTCAGGGGAGACCTTATTGCTTCCTGCAACTACCTGAAAGGAGGGTGCAGTGAGGTGGGGGTTGGACTCTTCTCCAAAGTAACAAGCAATAGGACAAGAAGAAACAGCCTCAAGATGCGCCAGGGGAGGTTTAGACTGGGGTATTAGGAAAAGTTTCTTCACAGAGTGCTCAGGCATTGGAACAGGCTGCCCAGGGCAGTGGTGGAGTCACCGTCCCTGGAAGTGTTCCAAAACTGTGTCGATGAGGCCCTCAGTGAAAAGGGTTAGTGGTGGCCTTGGCAGTGCTGGGGTAATGGCTGGATTTAACAATCTTAAAGGTCTTTTCCAGCCTAGTTGATTCTATGATCTAAACAGGCTCCTGGTTCACACAACCCGCCTCACTAAGCATTAGGCAGCAATTAATGGCAAAAGAATAAACAGTCACTGAGCCTACAAGCTGCAGAATCACATCATGCCAGACCACAGGTGATGTGCACATTGACTGTACATCTGGCAAACAACCCTAAAATCACTACTCAGGATGTAAGGGAATGTGACTACAGTTAAAGGCAATGGTGGAAAGAAACAAAAACCAGCAATAAAAACAAGTAGCCTAACAGAAAATAGCCAGCACTGACTCTTGCATGTCCTCCTTGATGTCCTCCAGCCACCACATCATTTGAAAAAAGGAAGAAATTAGTGAAGAAATAAGCTTTTAAACTGACCTTTATTGCAGAAGTTGTAATTTCTCACCATCAAAACATCACAGCCACTGAATTTAGTGAATTAAAACTGGACTTTTGCCTTATGTGGAATGCATGTGTTGGACTGATGCAGCCTGACACATGGGTGGGTGGCAGCACAGATTCTTCCTTGTCCACTTGTGCTGTTATGAAAACAATCTGTAGAGCTGAATGGTCATGGCTTCTGTTCTGGGATTTCCAAACACTAGCTTGCCTCCCTTCAAATTTTATTTTGCTCACCATCACTGAAGCAACATGCAAAGACCTAAAAATGATATTATCAAACCTTAAATGCCAAAAAATCTGGCCAGTTGATTTGGCCTCTGAAATCAAGAAAAATAGCCGTGATCTGTTTGACAGACATTGCTGAAGACAATTAAATGTTCAGTTCTTTTCCCTTCAATAACATTTGTTCTCCAGTCACAGACGCTGATGATTGTATCACATCAGAGCAAGAGATCACAAGCTCAAGTCTCCCACCTCTGCTATAGCCCTTTCACAGTTTTTGTGAGACAGTCTAGTAGTTGATAGTAGCTGTACTTCAGGTCATACTCCATGTCATACCAATAATTCACTGAGGAGACAAGAAAAAGGAAAAACATTTCTCAGGCTAGAATGTAATGATTTAGAAACATATTCACAGGCTGGTTTACAAAGTTCAGCTAGTACAGGCTTTTCATTACTAATTGAACACTGAAATGAGCAAATCTTTGACTACAGCCAAAAATAACATAAGCAAATATTAGAGTTCTTTAGGACTGCCAATACAACTCTGTCTTAACCCAAACCAACTCCTCTTCAGACTACTGAGGATTCCTTCAAGCAGAAGCTGGCAGAATGTTTAGAACTAGAAAATGTATGCTTCTATGTAGATCAAAAATACCAAATACACTGCAAAGTTTAATATCTGGATAGGAACCTCTCTTCCTGTAAGACTGTAAAGGATGGCAAATCCACCACTAATTCACAATGGTCATCAATTAGACAGTGCTTTAATTCTGCTTCTCATTCTAAGTCTGCTTCTCATTCTAATTTTGTATGTCTCCTAGAAAAAACTAAACCAAGCAGTATAATATTGTATCAATGGTTCTTGGAGGAGTATATATTCTAGCTTCAGACATTCACTGGACCAGACCCAGAGAATACTGGCTTTTCAAGTGTATACAAACTGTAGTGCAGTTAACAGACTACAAGCCAAATAATGTCAACTCTTTAGCATTTCTGCTAGACAGAGAAAAAAAAAGTGGCTGGGGGCTTGAAAACAACTCTGTGTTTCTCTGGAAGTCTTTAAGGACTGATGCAGCGTTCCTAGGAAAAGAGAATGAGAAATACTGCTTTACTGATAGCTTGTCTTTTTATCACAGTATCGCAAGTATGTTGTTCAAAATACTCTTCCTGGGCAGACAGGATTATTCCAGACAAAGGACATCAAAAAAACTCTTCCTCAAACCTTGCAAAACTTACAGGACCTAATGGTCATACTCTGCACCATCACCACTCCTCCACCTGCACCAAATGAGCAGTGCTTGAAATTCTGGAAGTCTCTTGGGGAAGAAATAAAAAAGGTAGTGAAGGATGATGATAAATCCTACAAAGAGATGACAAGACTTTTCATAGGTGCAGGGGAACAGTAACACAAGCATAGGCTTATTAGCAAGGTAAGAGACTTGGTTAGAGCAGATGCCAGCTCACATGACACCAGAGTATCTCCCATGTTGTGTCTACATTCATGCCTAAAACTCATATGCTTTCTGGTTTCCTTTTCTTCTATCAGATCCTTTTTTGCTGGTGTGATAATGGCACAAACAACACGCAGTTTCTTTGTGAAAGGTACGTATATGAGCAATTTGTAGTTGGAAGGCTAGGCAAATTTTTTGGCTCCATGTCAGAAACAGAAACTGGATCACGATCACCGAATTAGCTATCCTTCTCCAGACTTGGCAATTAGAAAGACTTTTTCTTCTGCTACATCCATTGCCAACAATATTACAAATTATAAGCAGAACTGCAAGGAGGTAGCCCCAGCACATTTACCAAGATTGTTGTTTCCTCCTGAGGAGAGGCAGATGATCTTAAAGGGACCTCTGGGCCCAGTTACTCTTTGCTGTGGGCTATCTAGGTGCGCACCCACCACAGTTCAAAAAGGTATCTGGACATCCTGTGTATTTTACCTGCTATACAGCCATGTGATTGTTGAACATGATGGAACCAGAGAGAAGGCAGGTACAACATCTCACCAGCTCTCACTGTACACTGCAAAGGTTTCGCCTGAGCATACTCTGGATATTGTTCCAGATTTGGGTTCAAGGGGTCCAGGGGGATCCAGGGCACCTAAAAGCAAAAGAATATGTACACGGTACTGATCCTGGCAAAAAATTCCAGCAAACTTCCAGAAAAGCAACTGATAACCAAAGTTAGTGGGTTAGAAAACCTGTATTTTCCCTAATAAAACACGTACAGCTACACAGCTTTCCACGTTCAACTGGCAATAGGTCAAGGATGCGAAAACTTGCACCCTCCAGTGCCTCCTTCACTGAAGCATTTCTAATTAGGGAAAAGGTGCTAAATGTCAGCCATGAAATTTCAGTCTCCTTGCACACTTTCAAAACAGCCCCAGCCCCTTATGTCACTTGATGCTCCTACATTCAGTACTTGAGTATTTTATCTGGAACTCTCTTTTTAGACATTCCTTTCTTATAAAGAGGAAAATGAAGAGAGATTAGATACAAAAGGGTACCAAGTTTCTGTAAAGTGCCTCCAGATCTGTATGTTTTAATCGAATAAATATTGCTACTACTAAGAAAACACAACTTATAAATTTAGACAGATATGTTTTATTGGTGATACTGCTGTAGAGCAAAATCTAGCCCTGAATAGAGGGCCAACAGAACGTGAATGCAGAAGACTCTACTGCAGTCTTAATGAGATAAATTCCTTTATTTTTGGTTCATTTGAAAGTCCTTTACTGGATCTATTCAAGTTTGGTGCAGGGAAGATAGTTTATGATATCAATGATTTCAGGTGTGCAGTAAGAATCTTTTCTGGAAGCTAGCTATCCCTTGCAAATAGTAAAATATAAGTGAAATACCTGGGCATTCTCCTTCCAGTGATGAAGGATTTCTAAATATCAATCAATATCCTTCATTTGAGGGCACAGCAGTGCCCAAAACTACCTTTACTTGTGTATTGACCATGTTCTTTATATACTTTTTACCTTATCTGCACTCTTCTCATCCACAATTTCAAATGAGCCATCTTCTGATACCTGGTAGGTTGCTGGCTGATACAGCTCTGAAACCACAGAAA